AAAGAGGGTTTGTGAGCCTATCCACAAGGGAACTGGTGAGAATACCACTAAACCGAGCAGATTCAGCATCAGACTTTGAGAACCTCACCATCAACAAAGCAGCAGCAAGAGAATCCTGCTCCTACCATTCAGGGCCTGAGATTCTTGGGCCAGCCAGACCTAGAGGAGAGCAGCAGGGAGAGGAGCAGCAGCCAGAAACACGAAATCAAAGACCTAATGTGAGATGGAGCTGACCTAAGTTTTCTACCTCACATAAACAGTACTAAAAGCTTTTTTTTCTGAAATCTGAGAGGAAGGCGTAACTGGCAGGACTAAGGGCTTTGAAAATCAAGAGTCTGAAAATCAAAAAACATGAATTCACTTGGCATTTCTTAAGCTAAAGGAACTGAGCAACAATTTCAAGCCTCGAGTTCCAATGCTTAAAAATGCTGAAGGTAGAAAGTCGAATGACTCAGGAAGTTTCAAAAGAAGATGGAAGGATTATAGAGAGTACTTGTACAAAGAGAATTGGTGGACACAGAAGAATTTCATGAAACACCGTATGGGCACGAGTATGTGGTGATGAAGGAAGAAGTTCAAGCTGCTCTGAAACAATTGGCAAAAAACAAGGCCCTAAGTATTGACAGCACACCAATTGAGATATTTCAACAAATAGACACTGCCCTGGACATGCTAGCCAGGCTGTGCCAAGAATTCTGGGGGACAACAAACTGGCTAACTGACTGGAATAGATCCATATTTGTTCCCATTCCAAAGAAAGATGATCTGACAGAGTGTGGAAATTATCAATCAGTATCATTAATACCACATACAAGTAAGATTCTGCTGAAAATTATCCAAAACCAACTGGAATGGCACATCAACAGCCAGATGTGCAGGCTGGGTTTAGAAGAGGCTGTGGTACTAGAGATATTATAGCTAATGTTAGATGGATCTTGGTTGAAAGCAGAGAGTACCAGAGGAATGTCTATGTATGATTCATTGACTATGCAAAGGCATTTGACTGTGTGGATCACAACAAACTGTGGCTGACTCTGAGAAGAAACCCATACTTGGAGCAGCAGGCAGCTGTAGAACAGAGCAAGGAAACACTATATGGTTCAAAATTGGGAAGGGTGTATGCCAGGGATGTGTTCTATCTCCATACCTTTTCAATCTATATGCAGAACAGGATATCAAGAAGGCTGGGCTGTATGAGGAAGAATATGACATCAGGATTGGAGGAAGACTCATCAACAACCTGCGTTATGCAGATGACACACCTTGACTGCTGAAACTGAGGAGGACCTGAGACATTTGCTGCAAAAGGTCAGAGACTGCAGCCTTCAATATGGATTGAAGCTCAACATCAAGAAAACAGATTCTCACCACTGGGCCCACTGACAGCATGATGATAGATGGTGAAGAGACTGAGATTGTTAACAGCTTCAGTTTGCTTGGCTCCACAATCAACACTTTTGGTACCAGCAGCCAGGAAATCAAAAGATGAATTACATTGAGAAAGTCAGCTGTGAGGGACTTCTCCAGAGTACTGAAAAACAACAATGTAAGTCTGGAGAATAAGGCATTTTTGATCCAGGTCTTCGCAATTACTTGGTATGTATCAAAAATCTGGACAATGACTAGAGATGACAGAAGGAGAATTGATGCCTTTGAGCTGTGGTATTGAAGAATATAACATGGACTGCTAGGAGAACAAACAGATTTGTCCAAGAGAGGGTGAAACCAGGCTGTTCCTTGGAGGCCAGGATTCTGAAGCTTCATCTGACATACTGTGGGCATGTTATAAGGAAGGACCAGTCCTTGGAGAGGGACATCATGCTTGGGAGGGTCATTGAGAGGAAGACCCTCGAAGAGATGGATTGACTCAGTTACTAGAGTAATTGGGGTAGGTTTGTCAGAGACAGTAGGTTGCCTCAAGGGTTCAGAGCTATTGTACAAAGTATCATTATGAGTTGCAAGTGACTCAAAGGCACATAACAACAAGAACAAGAAAGTTTTGAAATACTGGCCTAAATCTAAAGGGCTGAAGGCTAAGGTGCCTATGAGCACATTTAAGAAGCTCTCCTGACAGAGTGGTTGTCTCTTGCTGCCAACTTGAATTATAGTCTTTTGACTTTCCTAATATGGTTCTGTGTAATCTATGAGATATTGAAACCTAACAATTTATACCTAGAAGAACAATAAAATTGGTTTTAGAATTATTATTATTATAAAGAGGCACAGGAGTGTGAAGGACATGTCTGGTCTCATAGGAAATGGTTTTGTGTTTTGGAGGTTGTTGATAGAGTCAGTTCTTCCACGTGGTAAAGGTCCTTTTTGGCTGTCCTCATGTGGCCCTTGCTCTTTTTAGAGCATGCTGTGCTGATGCTGAATACCTTTCAGTGGAGCTCCCAGGTGAAGACAGATTACAATAAAGGCCTGGAAATATCCTTCCAGAAATGAACCAGGAAAAATCCCATGCATCAATTCCAATGCTATACATAGAGTAACTAAGAGTGAGGAATTGAGTCAATGGTACTTGGCCTCATTCATCACTACCAACATCACCACTAAGTATTTAATGAATGAAACCATGTAAGAGGGTCCCAGACCTAAGATCATAACTAAGAATCCTAAAGAATGAAATTATTCTAGGAGGACTCAAGACCAAGGTCATCACTAAGTAATTAAAGAATGAAATAGTTGAACAAAGGCCCATGATTCAAGCCAGTTACAAATGAATTGAGAATACTGTCACTTTTGCATATCACACCTGTTGTAATCCACGAATCGAATTAGAAGAGGGTAGAAGGCATAGAGATCTCTTGCCAGTGTGGTGAACTCATCCAGAATGAGGAGTTCTGCCTCGGACATATCTCCTCTGGCTTCTGCTTTCAGATGATCTTCCTCAGATACCACCATGGCTGCCTTTTTCTTCAGTTTCTCCATTAATGGTAAGAAGTGAGTTTTCAAGAGCTGAGGTTTCACTTTATTTATAATAGGCTGGGAAAACACTGTTAGAAGACAGTCATTAGTATTCTAATTGTGTATTAAAACAAATAAAGAGTTATTAAAATGAGGGTAGATTCTAATCACTGTTTTAAAAAAAAATACCACAAAATCATTGCTGTCCAATCAGAACCAATTCATAGCTGACCCTCCAGCAGGTTTTCAGGGGCTATAAATAGTACTGGAGAAGATTGCCTGCATTTCTCCTGAGGAGCAGCTGGGAGACCCAGATCTTGGGTTAGCAGGCAACTCTCTCTGATCACCACCACCATCAGAATACATGGCTTAGTCATTCCGTACTTCTAAAACCTACTTGCATAATTAACTGTACAAATGTGGAATTTTTTTTCTTTATTGCACAGGACATTGCCCATCCTTCTCCTGTGGAGCATCTAGTATTTTGAAGTGTTTCTTCTGATTGGTAGTGCTTATATTTCCCATTAATCTAATTTCTTCTATACTGGTTTACATACAAAGTTCATATACATTGTTTCCCACACCCTTTTCTTTACCATTATCTCCCTCCACTCATCAAATTGTACGACCTTATGTTTAAACCCCAGTAAACAAATTGCCTTGGATCCTCTTATGTGTGCTACAGAAATGGTCCTATACAGTATTTGTCTTTATAAAACTGAGTTAATTCTTCCCAGAGGTGCACGGTTCGAATCCACCAGATGGTCTGCCGGGGAAGGAGGGGCAATCTCCTCCTGTACCAGTCAGATCTGATTTGACGGTACACGCACCCTAAAATAATAAAATTAAAAAAATAAATTAAAAAAAATAAAACTGAGTTAATTCACTTAGCACAATGCTCTCCAGTCCCTCCCATGAAGGTAGTAATTTACAAAATCATTGCTCCTGCATGCTGCATAGTATTCCATAGTGTGAATGTACCATAATTGCTCAGTCCATTCCATTGTGGTTGGGCATTCGGGTTATTTCCATGTTTTTGCTCTGGTGAATAATGGTGCTATGTACACTGGTGTAAAAGTCTCTGTAATTCAGTTCTCATTTTCTCAGGGTATATTTCAAATGGGGGAATAGCCAGGTCATAAGGAATTTCTATGTCTCAGAGAAACCAAGAAAGCTATACCATTTACAATAGCCAACCACAAATTGAGATACTTGGGAATGAACCTAACTAAAGATATGCAAAAACTATACAAAGAAAACTACAGAACATTTCTGCAAGACACAATAAAAGATACAAATAAATAGGAAATGTGCCCTATTCATGGGTGGGAAGATTAAATATTGTGAAACTGACAATCCTACCAAAAGCAATCTACATGTTCAATGCAATCCCAATACAGATACCAAATTCATTTCTAAAGGAGATAGAAAAGGAAATTTTCAAGTTTATTTGGAGAGGAAAGACACCCCAAATAAGCAAAGTACTTCTGAAAAACAAAAATAAAGTGGGAGGCATAGCATAGTACCCTCTGACCTCAAAACCTACTACACAGCAGTAGTAACCAAAACAGCATGGTACTGGTACAATGACAGGCATATAGAGCAATGGAACAGAATTAAGAACCCAGAAATAGACCCATATATCTAAGGTCAACTGTTATTCGACAAGGAAATAAACCTATCAAATGGGGACATAATAACCTTTTCAACAAATGCTGCTGGCAAAACTGAACTGCTAACTATATGAAGCTGGAGCGGGATCCACATCTCACCATATACAAAAATCAACACAAGGTGTTTCAGAGATCTCAGAAGAAAGCCTAAAGCCATAAAGCTCATAAGAGACAAACTGGGACCAAGCTCAGAAGGCCTACTCTACAGTATAAAGGGACTGCCAAATACAGCCAGAACTATACAACCTTAAGAGGATAAAATTGATGAATGGGTCCTTCTAAAGATTAAATCTCTTTGCTCATCCAAAACTTTTCCCAACAGGATGAAAAGAAAACCTACTGACTGGGAACAAACATTTGGCAATACCATATCAGATAAGGGTCTCACCACTAAAGTTTACAGAATCCTACAGGGTCTCCAGAAGAAAAATACAGATAACCCAAATACAAAATGGGCAAAAGAAATGCAAAGACTTTTCACTGAGGAAGACATATGGATGGCCAACAGACACATGAAGAAATGATCCAAATCACTGGCAATGAGAGATGCGAATCAAAACCACAATGGGATACCATCTTATTCTAGTAGTAGTGGCAACGTTTAGCAGGACATCAAGTAATAAATGTTGGTATGGATGTGGCAATATAGGGACTCTTATACATTGTTGGTGAGATTGTCAAATATCACAACCACTCTGGAAGGCAGTTTTGTGTCTTCTCAAAAAGCTGGGTATTAAGTTGAATTTAATGTTCTTCTGCTTTTTCAAAAATGGTGAAAATAAATTATTTTTCAAACACAGGAGTAAATATATGAAATGGGAAAAGTTTCCTTAGTACTTTCTTTAGAAGAGTTAGACAGACAACTGAATAATTATCCAAAGACTTACATATAATTGGGGAACATTAATTGTACTTCAATCGTCCCATCCATAAATGAACAGGAGAGAACCAGGTAACACATAACACTGTAATGTGTTGAATAACGGTTGTAGTTATTAAAAGTCATAAACTTGACAGGACCATTTTTTTAAACCCTCCCCCCCTTAATCAGATACACCTAATTCAATAAATTTTCCATTCCATTGTAGAAATATATAAAAGGGTGGATGGAGAAAGCCTGGCATAACTGGCCCAACAATTAGTAAGACCATTTTGTGTATTTTGCAGTTTTTATCAAAAGTTAAATTCACAATCATATCTATATCTTTATCTTACATATGTATCTTTTATTTTGTTTTTCGAAATTCTTTGTTACACACTCGTTGATAATGTAAAGATTTTCCTACTTCATAAAACATTTCTCAAGGGCTAATGCTTCAGGATGGGAGGATATTCTGGTCCATGGGCACATCACCTAAGAACCCACTGCTGCTAAGCCAATTAAAACTCATACCTAGCCTCCACTGAGAGTCTAAGACTGTAAATTTTTACAAGAGGACACTGCCCATCTTACTCTTCAGGAGCACTGGGTAGATCTGAACTGATGACCTTTGAATTAACAACCCAACATACAATGTACTATGTCACATATTTAACTATTCTCTACTTGTGGGGCACTTAGATTACTTCCAATATTCAATAAAAAATGATACTGCATCTATTTCTTTATTAGAACACACTGTTAAAACTAGGCTGTTCTTAATATCCAGTTTTATATTTGTCTAATGAAATTATTTGTTATTACTATCTTTATTCCTTATTCTTAAAGAAGTAAATCTGGAAGTTTACTAACTTAAATAAAGATGTGACTTAATGCCTGATTATACTTACATTTTTCAAATAAATAATATGGCAGGAGAAAACCCTAGTACTGTGTTTTGAGGAGAAAAGGAAATACTGATAAAGGCTGTGATTAGAAAAATTCTAGTTTCCTGAATGGCAAGCCTCTCTGGAAATAAATCAATATCACACCTCTCTCCCATTCTCACCTGCTAATCTCTTCATCCAGGCCCCTTCATCAATTCCCAAGTTATTGTATATAATTTTCAGTATATTTCCCAGAAGAGTGTTCATGTGCTCTGAGTTCATAGCTGTGCAACACATGTCAGTCTTTTCCAGATTGTTCTCAGGCCCATGCTCCCACCAGCGGGACATGTAGCTGCAGAGCATAGGCAGGATGACCTCCATAACATGGGGCATCTGTGTATAGCGGATGCCAGATTCAGCCAACTCTACAATCTCTTCCATGAGTTTTTCCAAAGATGGTATATTAGCACAAACATCTTCTACATTAGCTGGTAGATTGAGCGCTGGAGGAACACAAAAGGAGAACTGATTGTATTCAGTGAAAGAGCTGATGCAATGTAGTATATTTTCTCCTTCTAAGAGACATAAACAATCACTTTTATTTTGGCCACCAAAACTCAAAAATACCTGGAGGTATTCAGTTAGCTTTCATTTTCCATGCCATCTACTTGAAATATCCATTCATTTTATTAAGATCCTACCCTACTACCATTATCTTAAAATTAGTAAAGGAGGACATCAGCATAATTTTCTTCAGTATCCTGATACCCATGCCTAAAAATGTTCTATTTCTGAGCCTTGCTTCCTCATTTTCAGAGGAAGGAGTTCTGATGTCTCTTCTCATGGGCCCACCTGTGTTTCCAATGCTCTGTCCTGCCCAATGTCAGGGTTTGTATTGCTTTATTTAGAATTCCTTTTAGTTGGGCCCATACCAACAATTATAGTAGCAACAGTAAAGGAATCCAAGGATGTACTGCCTTGGGCAAATGTGCTGTAAAAGAATTTTTTAAAGTACTGAAGAATAAAGATGTCAGTTTAAGGACTCAAGTCATGATATTTTCAATAGTTTCATATACATCAGAAAGTTGGACAATGACTAAGGATAATAAAAGAATTGATGTCTTTGAATTGTAGTACTGGCAGAGTATTAAAAATATCATTGGGCTGCCAAAAGAATAAATAAATCTGTTTTAGATGAGGTGCAACCAATATGTTCGTTAATGGCAAGGGTAGTGAAACTCTGTCTCGCATACTTTGTCCATGCTGTCAGGACGGGCTAAGTCTTGGAGAAAGGAATCATTGAGAAGAAAGTGAGTTAGAGAAAGAGAGGAAGACCTTCAAGGAGATGGATTGACAGAGGGGCAGCAACAGTGTGACTCAGTATTTCAGAGATTGTGAGCTTGACGTAGGACAGGGTAAGGTTCAGATCTATTTTTCAAGGATTGCTTTGAGTCTTAGTTGATTCAATGGCATATAACAACAACATCAAACTAGTATTCTGAGGGAACAAGCGCATCCCATTAGCTGAAGAATCTTCTGTTTGGATAACAATTTGGATACTGAGCATCTGTATTCAAAAGCAAAGCCTGCTCGAGAGCAAGACATCAAGTTGCAGCAGTTAACACTAAATCACAGCATGGATCATCTTCTCTTCATCTGGTTGGGTTCTGGCCAACCATCTACAGCTATTTGTTATTGTTGTTGTTGTTGGGTGCCACTGAGTTGAGTATTACTCATAATAGTGACGTGAGCTATCCTATGCCATCCTTACCATCTCTGACACATTACAACCCATTGCTGAAGTCACTGTCTCAATTCATTTCATTGATGGTCTTCCTCTCTTGCTGGCCCTCCATCTTTCCAAGCATGATACCCTTTCCAAGGGAGACCCTCTCCTTCCTATATGTCCAGAGAATGAAAGAAGATGCTTCACCATCTTTACCTGGACATAGTTGACCAATTCATCTAAGTGGCAGGATACAAGACTAACATACAAAAATCAGTTGGATTTCTCTACAGTGACAAAGGGAAAACAGAACAGGAGCTTAGAAAAAACAAAGCCCTTAACAATTGCTAATCACAAGATTAAATACCTTGGAGTAAATCTAACCAGAAGCACAAAGGATCTATTCAAAGAAAATTACAAAACATCACTACACGAAACAAAAAGAGACCTGGAGAAGTGGAAGAATATTCCTTGCTCATGGATAGGAAGACTCAATATTGTGAAAATGACAATACTACCAAAGGCAACTTACACATTCAATGCAATCTCAATGCAAATACCATCTCCATTCTTCAACAAGAGGAAAAGGCAGTCTCGAATTTTATTTTGAATGGAAAGAGGCAAAGCATTCCTTAAAAAGAGAAATAAGGTAGGAGGCATCTCACTCCCTGATTTCAAATCCTACTACACTGTCATGGTGGTCAAGACAGTGTGGTACTGATATAATGACAGACACATAGATCAACGGAATAGAGTAGAAAATCCAGAAATTAGCCCATCTACCTATGGTCAATTGATTTTTGATGAAGAGATGAAATCAGTTAAGTTGGGAAATGACAACCCTTTTAACAAATGATGCTGGCAAAATTGGAAAACTACCTGTAGAAAACTCAAGCATGATCCACACCTCAATCCATACACATAAAACAACTCAAAATGGATCATGGACCTAGGACTAAAACCAACATTGACATTTGAATAGCTTCACCATTCTTGTCTTTAAAAATCACCCTGAGGGGAGCTCTGGTGGCCTAGTGGCAAGAAGCTGCACTGCAGTCCCAGAGACCCACACCTCACTCCATACACAAAAACCAACTCAAGGTGGATCATGGACCTAGGACTAAAACCAAGGACTATGAAATTCATTACAGAAAAGCTAGGAACAACACTAGAAGTCCTAATCCACAACATAAACAGTCTTCCCAGTATCCTGGAAAAGCTACAACCAGGAGAAGATAACATAGATGAATGGGACCTTCTAAGACTCAAATCCCTATGCACATCCAAAAACTTCTCCAGTAGGGTAAAAAGGGAAGCCACTGACTGGGAAAAAGTATTCGGTAATAACATATCAGATAAGGGACTTATATCCAGAATTTATGAAATACTTGAGCACCACAACAAGATAAAGGTAAATAATCCAATAGAAAAATGGGCACAGGATATGAACAGGCACTTCACCGAAGACGACATTCAGATGGCTAACAAACACATGAAGAAATGCTCAAAATCCCTAGCCCTAAGAGAGATGCAAATTAAAACAACTATGAGATATCATTTCACCCCAGTCAAAATAGCAAAATTTAACAGAACAGCAAGCAACAAATGCTGGCGAGGTTGTGGAGAAACTGGAACCCTGATTCACTGTTGGTGGGAGTGTAAAATGGTGCAACCCCTGTGGAAAGCAGTATGGCGCTTTCTCAAAAAGTTGCAAATAGAGATACCATTTGACCCAGCAATTCCACTACTGGGAATATACCCTGAAGAGACCATATCTGACATCCAAGCAGATATATGCACAACCATGTTCATTGCAGCTTTGTTCACAATAGCAAGGAGTTGGAAACAACCTAAGTGCCCATCAACAAACGAATGGCTAGAGAAGCTGTGGTATATTCGCACAATGGAATACTATGCTGCATTAAAAAACAAGGAACTCATGCAATATTATTCAAAATGGTTGACTCTGGAGAACATTATGCTGAGTGAAATATCCCAGTCACAAAAGGACAAATATTACATGATGCCACTGTTGTAGAATGGGACTGTCCTTGGGGTTAGGGAGACACTGAGTAAGATGGGTTCAATAATGTATACTGCACTGAAGCAGAGGAGGGAGAGAACCGTCTAAAAGAGAGATGTAACTGGGTATTTCTGTCATCACAGGAGACTAGAGCGAGGGCTGCATGGTGGAGGGGACCTGGGGGAGGGTTTGTAAAACAATGAAAGAATCTTTTCTTTTACTTTTCCATAATTTTTGGACTCATGTACTTATAACTTGTTAGTCAAATTTGTGTCTTCTAGGTTGCAATACCCCCATGATACATCTTGAAGGATATGTACATGTACAGCCAAGCACAATCAATAAGAGTGCATCTGAATTCCAAAATCAATCTCCATAATAGTGTATGTGTTTCCTACTGCCAAAGGGGCCCTTTAGAGTAGTGAGAGAAGATCTTCACCCTGAAACCCACAGCGTCCCTTTTCAGCAGGAAGTAGCTAAGAGAATACACCGTCCCCTTTTCCTTATGACTCAGGGTGAAGTCTCTCTCAGGGAGGAGTGATAGGGAATGGCAAAGGATACACTGACAAAGAAGATTAATCAGAACAGGCTTTGACAAGCACTGTGGCATTTGGACAAGAACAAACTGGGAGGAGGGTAGAGAGAATAGTGCAACAATGAATGAGTGGAAGCCCAAAATCTCTGTAAATGTTTATGAAAATTAATAAAATATAATTATAGAAAAAAAAATCACCCTGGTTGTACTTCCTCTAAGATAGGCTTGTTTGTTTTTCTGATAGCCCATGAAATATTCATTACTCTTCTCTAACACCACAATTCTAAGGCATCAATTCTTCTTCAGTCTTTCTTATTATTGTCCAACATTCAGATTTACAGAAACAACTAAAAATATCCTAACTTGGATTAAGGATACCTTAGTCTTTAGACTATAGCACTTTGGAGAAGTCCTTGACTGCTGGCTTTCCTAATTCAACATTTCTTTTGATTTCTTAAGTGCTACTAGCCAGAGTTAACTCAACAACAACTGGTTAATTTCAAGACTAGTAGAATCTCTGAGAAGTCTCTCCACTCTCAGCTAAAATGGTTTTACTTGGTTCCACCCTCTTGATTGTGTGCTTTTGGAGGATTATTATTTATTCCTAATTCTACTAAATGTTTTTCTCAATCTCTTCCTTGTTATTGCAGATGAAAACCTTATGAGGAAAAGAATCAGATTATATTTATCTTTGTATCATATCTACTCCACTGATCATAGGTAACATCATAAATGAATGATTGGCTAAATGATGACTAAGTGAGAAATGTTAAATTTGAGTTCCTTAACTTGTTTTATAAATAGCATGCTATAGAAACACAAAGAGTAAATGATCTAATTTATGTATTTCTTTATTTCTAATAAAATAAAAAAACTACCTCATTCTTGATTAATAATAAAAATATTAACCAATCAATAAGTCAATTTGAAAAATGTTTGTTTATACAAATAAGCAATAATTCAAATTCAGTCCTCTTTGTCAGCTACTTTATACTTACACTGTGGATATTAAATGGAACAATATTACTCAAATAAATACAACATATTTATTTCCCTTCAGTTGAATCTATCCCATTGGACTTGAGTGCATAAAGTCAAGCCTGACTAGCAGAGACTGTACAGGATAGGGCAGGACAGTCCCATAATGCCCCACTAAAGGTCATTGCAGGAAAGGGCAAGTAATTCTGCAAGGTCTCCGCTTCATCTTGCTGGTACTGCACATGCGTCATCGTTACCTGCTCTCTCTCTCGAGGTCTTGGTGTTGTAGATGGAATAAACATTATGCTTGTCCAGGTGAGTTTCCAAAAATGCTACTGGGAAGGCACCAGCAAAGGCAGCCAGGCACTCTCCTAATGCAGAACGTTGCCTAGAAGAGGAAAATATTTACCTTTAAAGAAATAAAATGGAAAAAGACACCCTTCTAGAAAGCTATCTATTTAGAAAAGGAAAAATATTATTGCTATTCATAAAATTCACTCTGTAAATGATCCCAGATTTCAACAAGAAAAATCCATAGGCAAAAATGCATCCAAAACAAGAAGACAGTTGGACTAGGAGAGAATATATTATATCCCCAAAAAGCAATATTTCAAACAATGTGTACTGACTCAATGGTGCGTATTATACAACAATCAATTTCTTACTCAAGGTCCGATTGACCTCTCATTGCCAAGTTTAAACAACTTATTTCAATTCAGAAGTCTCTATCATTTCATGTGTTAATCTTTGAAACTTGAGAAAATTAAAATAATAAAACATTGAGAAATTAAGAAAAATATACAAGCTGTTGAGTAAAACTCACAAAGAATGCAAGTTAAACTTTACATTAAATATGAAATTTTCTATTATTGTTTGTGCTGTTAACCTAAAGGCAGCCAGTCTGAATCCACCAGCAGCTTCACAGGAGAAAGATGGAAAATCTCAAGTTCAATATGCTGTCTCTGAAATCCCACTGGGAGTCAGCTATGAGATGGCTCCCAGGTGACAGCAATGCGTCTGAGTTTTTATTCGGCGTAAGTTAACTGTCTAATGACAATTCTTATTTAGCTTAAAAAACCACAACAAAACAAAACCCCAACAAAACAAACAAAACACCCAAAGAAATAACCCCAAATACCTAACTTCATAAAAACAAAACATCCCACCTTAACCCCCCAAATCCTCTAACTCACTGTTACCAGGTTAGAACTGGCCCTCCTGTGCGTTTTAGGACTGCCACATGGGAGGAGACTGTCTATCTTTCTCTGTTGGAGATTCAAACCACTAGAATGGTGTTCCCTTTGGGTTTGCCTATCCACTAAGGCACCACAGCCAACTAATCTCCCTGTTTAGTATAAAGATTGTCTAATTAATTACTCCAGAGGAATTCAGGTCAAGTTTAGTTTACAACTAGGCAAAAGTACAAAATAAATAAAGACACACACACATAAATACTTGTGTGCATAAAAAAGGTTTGTAATAGCTTTTTAAATCTCACCTCTCCACATAGATGCTCTTGCTTGTTCCCAATGTATACAAACTTGTCAGAATTCTGTAACAGGAGACCTGCACATCTTCCACTAAGGAAAAAAAAATATAATCTTGCTTTTAAAAGATTCTAACCAAAAAGAAAATATTATCACAGGAAAGTTTAAGATGAGAACACAATTCTCTGTTCAAGGCTAACTAACATTCTCATATGTGACAAAGGAAAACTAAGAATAAATAGATATATCGCATGAAATAGAGACACCTCTCAAATTATTTTCTTTAAAAGCATAAAACCTTCTTAAGAATGTAAAAAAAAAAGAATGTGCTGGGAACATTCTCAGAAAAATAATTTCTTGGTAATTTTTCTTTAGGTTTGAGAAGACTCACAAACCAATGGATTGTACCCTTTATTTTTAACTCTCAAATTAACACTAATGAAGACTCTAGAGGTTTTCCTGTGTTAGTTATTTCTCAAACAGCCTGACCTTTCAGCATATTCTTCTTATTAAATCATTTAGACTGGTAAGTTTTGATGCATGCTGGGAAAAGAAGATTTTTAAATTGCCCATTATCAGAGAAGCTCTGGTTAAAAAGATAGGGAATCAAAGCATCACAGATATGGTAGCTGAGTTAGAATTAGAAATCCAAAATCCTTAGATTTCCTAATTCCAAATCTGTCACCATGGAAGAGAAAATAAGAGATGAAGGGAGACAGAATCACTGTCATCCAGCACTGTTTCCAATTCCCATGCTTGTGTTGCTGTGAGAAATAATCTCATTGATGTTAAATTTATTCCAACTAGGATTTAAAGCAGGGACTCTGGTGGCTTAGTTGTAAGGAACTGTTCCTGCCACTCCAAAGGTACATATTTTTAATCCACCAGCTGCTCGGTGGCAGAAAGACGGACACTCAATCCCTATGCCTCTGAACACACACTGGAGGGGCAGCTATGATTAGGTTTCAACTGGACAGTGCATACAATAACAACTGTACTTGGAATATCCACCAAGCATTAGGGGTTTTGTTTTGCTTTGTGGGTTTTTATTTGCTTTGATTTTACTTAGGTGTTTATCATCTAAAAGTATGAACATCTGTGATAAAGACAGAATTTGTATCATGTTTATGCTCAATCTACAGGTCATGTGGTTTTGTTTCCTCATGTAACCTTGGGTATTCTGTGGATATTTATAACAGCAACAGAATTTCAGTGAAGAACATGATTACCCAGGAATTGAAATGAAACCTACATAAAAAGAAGCTATTTGAGTCTTTTTAGCAGACCAATTACTTAGACATAGATTTTTGTCTCAACAGTGGTCATCTGGCTTGTATAAACAAGCTAGAAATAATTGGAGAACACTTCACATTGCATATTATATAGTCAAATATCATTATATGGTAAAGATATAAAGAACTAATAAAGAGATAAAAATAGAACTAAGACTGAAACCAATGACAGCAAAAGTATTGATATCTTTGAACTGTGGTATTGGAGAAGAGCACTGAACATCCCATGGACAGCCAAGAGAAATAACAGATATGTCTTGGAAAAGGTGCAGCTGGAGTGCTCTTTGGAGGTATGAATGGGGAGGTTTTGCCTCACATATTTTGGACATGTTGCTAGAAGGTGCTATTCCTTGGAGAAGGACATGATGTTGGGAAGGGTGGAGGGTCAGTGAAGGAGAGGAAGACTCTCAACCAGGTGGATTGATGCGGTGACAGCTGCAATGGGATCTTGTGTGTCAGGAAGTGTGAGGATGGCACAGGATAGAACAGGGTTCAGATCTTTTATTCATCAGGTCACTATAAGTTGTGCTTGATTCAACAGCACCTAACAACAACAAGTGGCACATAAATTACTTTCTATAACCAGTAACTTAGTAGTCTCTTCTGTGATTTTATGCCATCTGTAATTTATGATAATTTCTATAAATCAGTTATCTATGATAACTCAGTTAAACTCATTGCCATTAAGTTGGAACTGACTCACTGCTGAACTGCCAACAGGTTTTCAGAGGCTGTAAATTACAATGGAAAAGATAGGCCATCTTTCTCCCATTGAGCCGCTTATGGATTCAAATGGCTTGCCTTTAGGTTAGCAGTCCAACTTCTTAAGAGTGACATCCACTTCCTAAACAACATGCCTCTGGAAACTCTATGAATAAATGTTGATAGTTATAGAAAGGCTTCAGGCCTTTTGTTGATAGGATTGCTATCAACAACAATAACGTTTAAAAGTGTTTGAATAACCCACATGAACTTTTTACAATTTCCAAAAAGTATGATGCCAGGAGAGGCTGTTGCTGTCCTTGTTAGGTACTGTTGCTTTAGCATGACTCAAAGCGACCCAATGGACAACAAGCTGGAATCTTCCCCTATCCTGTGCCGTCCTCATCATCTCTGACACACTTGAGCCCATTGCTGTGGTCACTGTGTCGATCCATTTCTCCGGGGGGGGGGGGTGTCATCCTTCTTTTGCTGATCATCCATCTCTCCACGCATAATGACCCTTTCTAAGGAATAGCCTCACCTAGCAACATGTACACAGTACGAGAGACAAAGCTTCACCATATGTGCCTCCAAGAAGCACTCTGGAAAGGAGAAGTCCTTGGAAACAGACATCATGATAGGAAAGGTAGAGCATTAGAGAGAAAGAAGAATATCCTTAAGGAGATGAATTAAGTCTGTGATGACAACAATGGGCTCAAGTGTGGTGTAGATCATGGCGATAGGGCAAAGTTTCTGTCATTTATAGAGTTGCTATAAGTTGTAATTGGTATCAAATTGGCACCTAAACACAACTGTATTCCACAGATAATAAAATCCAAGTATTAACTGACATACATATTAGATCTTCACCAAACTGATGCTGGCCAATATGTTCGAACAATGAGGAAAGCATGGGCAGCAGGGCCACGGTGGTGTAATTGATGATCTGCGTGACCCCTTTGGGCTGGCTCCGGGTGTGTGTGAACTGGCCCTGCTTGAGGTTTTCCATCGTCCTCTCCAGGTCCTCTGCCGCATTGTCCAGGAACGCTCGGAGGGCGCTCTTGACGCTCTCCAGCCCCGTCTTCATCACAGTCCTGGGAAATGAATAGGGAGCATCACACCATCCTACAAATGCAACATGCTTCCACTCTGCATATTCCCAAACTGCAGCATCCCCCTAGTCACCTAAATATTTTTACTATGGTGAAAATAGACACAACAAAAACTTTGCTGATCCCCATAACTAAAGTCCTGAGACACTTTTCAAATCTGAAACTGAAGTCACTTCCATGGTTCAGCTTTGAACTAAATGACCAACACTTGATAACACGAACAATAACACCAGAAAGGTGCTAAATCATAAGAACAATGGTGGTTGCTGTTGTTGTGTACCACTTAGTTGAACCAACTCATAAATGACTTTCCAGTGGGTTTTCAGAGGCAGTAAATTGCAAAGGAGGGAGACTGTATAGCTTTCTCTCGTGGAGGAGCTGGTGTATTCAAATGGTGTTCCTTCAGATTGGCAACACAACTTCTTGTCACTAGGCCACAAGAGCTCCCTAAGAACAATGCTAGGAAATAAAAAAAGGTGGCTCAGAAAGCAAAGAGGGATAAGAAAGCACAAGTGGAAATAGTCAACACGGCACAGGTGGGCAAATTGCTGTCACATTGAGCACACTGCAGTCAAGGTCATAAATCAAGATGTGTGTGAACTGTTAAGCTGAAAACCGATTTATTCTGTAAATTTCATCAAAGTCATAATAAAAAAATAGTGTAAGAAAAGTACCCCAACACCTTTGCCAAAAATTCTCACATGTACAATTCAGTTAAACGGATGCCATCCTTCATGTGTAACCTTTTCCACAGCATTTGGTTGATGATTCCACAAGCATGAATAGAAACTTAAAACTCCTAGTAAGGTTAGGAGCTTTAGGTTCCCTCCTCAGTGCTCTTCTCATTCTTGTAATCACTCATAATCTTTGGTTTCTATATCGTTCTGATTTCATAGAATTGATTCCATAATGGTATGTTACTAACAACAGAGGGTTTGCTTTGTTTTCACTCAGCATGACATTTTCTACATTCATCCATGTTATAGTATGTATCAGGATTTCATATATCTTCACAGCTGAGTGGTATTCCACTGTATTTATATACAATTATGGTTATCATCCATCTGTTGATGCATCAATAAACTTTTTGCATCAGCCTCAAGACATCTGTGTATCCAATAGGCGCATCAGCATTGCTCAGGAACTACAGAGCCTTTCCCAAAGTCCTTCAGTGTCATCTGACTTAAAGCTTTGGAGAAAACTGCCATGTTCCAAATTCATGTTTTCCATCAGTAGATTCGATAATTCACATAACACAGTTTCTGAGCTGGTTAATCTCAAATGCAACAAAATTAGAATGCTTTCTGAGTTGCTGAACATGAAAGACATTTAATGCTAACTAACACTATTCACCAGTTGTTGTTATGTGCTGTTCAGTTATAACCAATTATTTTATACTTGAAGGCTCAGCAATAAAATATTATCTAAATAAGCCTGTGAAGGTTAAACTTCATAAAGAAATGATCCTGGAATCATCATATAGGGAATCAATGTACATAAATGGTGTCTTCTTTCTTCATTTACTACAGCAAGCATCTTAAATGAAATTATAAACACAAGAAGAGATAATCAAATAGCATCATAAAATAGGAGACATTTAAGAACTTTTATATAACTTTATGTTGCGTATTAAATTAGTTAACTATATGATTTAAAAGTTGAATTAATCATGCTAAATAAAATTATTTGGAATTGAGTCAACATGTTGGATTTATGCCCCTATTGATAGTATGGGAGAATAGCATAGATATGGGGATTGGTCTTGTTCCACACATACTATGGGATCTTAAACTTGACTTTACTCTTTGGTAAATAAAACTCCCAGGTTTCTTAACAAGTTGAAAGTTATGAGAGCTGTGGAGCACATGGTACAGGCTTTCATTACTGGAAGCTAGAAGACTCCAATGGTGATAAGTTTCCCATTCTTCTCAGAGGATAATTCTATTCTATTCTATTCCCAGCTACTAGAAAAATAACTTGAAATTTAAATAGCAATTTATAAAAGAAAACAACAAACAAAATAATTTGTCATTAAATCAATGCTGACTCAAAACAACACTCTAGGACAGAGTGAATTTCCACAAAGGATTTTCAAGGCTGTAGGTTGTTTTTTTTTCATTGTAATTTAAGTGAAAATTGCAAAGCAAATTAATTTTTCTTGTAACCATTCATACATATTTTCTCCATAACATTATTTCTATATTCACAATAAAATCACACTTTTCCCATGTCCTCTAGAATTCTGATTTCCCGGAATCTTTCTTTCTTTGTGTTTTCTCTTTCTTTAGTGGCATTGTGATAATCGTCCTATTATTGTATATAATCTTTCCCTTCCCCCACCTTTTAACTTCTTCCTCTCTCCTTTCTCATCCTTCGTAACTACTCAGAAATGAGTTTATCTGTATGTAAAAATTCACTTAGATTTTATAATGGTGTTCTTAGAAAATATTTGTCCTTTTGTGATTAATTGCTTTATTTCACTCAGTATAATATCTTCCAAATTCATGCATACTATGTAATGTTTTGAGAATTCATTGCTTTTCAGTGCTTCACAAGACTATGTTGTGAGACTGGACCACAGTTTTTTTCACCCATTCATCTACTGACTCTATGGGGGTGTCTGCATATCTTTGGTATTATAAATAATGTGTCTATGAATATGAATTTTTAAATATCAGCCCATGTTGCACCCCTTGTTCCTCTTGTGTAGATGCTGGATAAAATGACTTTTCTATTTCCATCTTTCTAAGGAAGCACCAAACTGCTTTCCATAGTTGTTGCTTCATTTTACTATGCTTCCCAAGGCTGTATTCTTTATAGTAGGAGATTGCCACATTGAACTGCAGACTTTCATTTAATAGTTAAATGTTTAATAATTATACTACCAAAGATCTTCTATTCAGGATCTGAAAAAAATTATAAGCTGGCATTTTATTAGTAATATATAAAGGACTTTTCTCACCTACACTGAGGCCTTTAATACCTTTACAAAGGATAAGTGCAAGACATTAGGTTATACTTAACATCTTTATCTGTCAATGTGGGAGTCAGTGATTTAGAGAAAAATGTACCCACGCTACCTTGCATCCAAAGTCTGTCCCAAAATATGAAGACAGTTGACAATTGATGTTGCATCATTTCCTAGGGAGAAAATAACATCCACTGAGAGTTTGTCAATATTGTTTTTCCAAGATAATGTGGTAAAAAAATTAGCAATGTCATAACCCAGTCATAACACACTTAAAGATTCTGAATGTTAAGTTTACAGTCATGCAATTTTCTGCTGAAAAGTGACTCTGCCGATGTCAGTAGAAAAGCAATAAAGCATGTCTCATCAAATAGCTCACACTCTCAGAAAGCATTCAAAAAGCACTGCCAGGTTCAAAGAGTTCTAACTCAATACTTAAAATATATTCCCCTTCCCACACTTGTTCCCTTTATTTTTAGGTCATAAACTTTTTACAAATTTTTTAGACTACTCGTGTCCCTTTAAGAAATGAGGTGGGCTAAAAATTTAATAAACTTAATCCCATTTTAATGATCCCTGTGGTTCTGCTTGCTTATTAAATTCAACTAAAATATTTGCCTAATGTTGTTGGTCTTTGGCTGTGCAGAATAACCAAACTAAAAAGATGGGAAAAAAGCATCAGAGAGTGAAAAAGTTAAACATTAAAAAATCTTTGAACTAAATGAAATCTTTGAAAGGGGACAAATTAGTGAAAGTGAGATGAAATTCATTTATTTGTGCCTGTGGTGTTTTTGTTTTTTTAATCAGAAGTTACTTCACATGATGCAAATAATTACAATGACAGATCCAATATAATGTAATTCACATGCTGACAGTAACGTTTGTCTGCCTTACTTGTGAAATTTCAGAACGTCTGACAAATTCAGCAGAAAGGCAAAATCTGTTATTGCCCTCTCGGAAATGTCACCTCATACACTTTGGGGATGTTGTCAAGAGGGGCCTGCACTTAGAAAAAGATACCGTGCTCGGAAATGTAGAGGGTCAGAGAAACAGAGAAAGACCCTCAACAAGATGGACTGTCATAGTGATGGTGACACTGGGCTTGAGCTCATCAGAGGTGATGAGGATGGTGCAGGGCAGGGCAGGGGTCAGGTCTGTTGGTGCAGGACAGGGCAGGAGTCAGGTCTGTTATTTCCTCTATGTCTTAGCCAACTCAAAGGCCTCTGACACCAACAGCAATGGTAATCCCAATAATTTTATTGTAGCCCTTAGGAGTATTATTCCATTAATTAATTACTCATTCAACAAACAGACATTATATTAACAAGCACTCTGAAAAATTCAGTAATAAAGTCTGTGTGGTACTTGCATTCTAATGACAGCTACAGACAAAATAAAAATAACACCTAACAATAAAGTAGTAAACCAAATAAAATAAATAGGTGCTATTATACACATTGGGCACATTGCAAGGAGGGATCAGTTCTTGGAGAGGGACATCATGTTTGGAAGGGTAGAGGGACAGAGCAAGAGAGAAAAACCCTGAATAATATAGATTGACTCAGTGACTGGGGTACTGTGGGTAGGTGTGTCAGAGAGACACAATGAAATTGGCTTAAGGTAGAGCAGGGTTCAGAGCTGTTGTGCACACAGGGTTGCTGAGAGTCAGAGTCAACTCAACAGCACTTACCAACAGCACAGCATTCTATCAAGAGCAGAAGTATGCACAATCTTTTCCCATGCAAGTAACTCCCTCTGAAAACACACTAGAGGGACAGCTATGGGTCAGTTCCGACTTGACCGTATACAACAACGTTATATAAGGAAGCCTTTGGAGCACAGTATTCAAACCCTTGGATCTAACAAATGTTAGCAGTTCAAACCCTCCAGACATTTGAGGGTAAAAAGACCTGGTAATTCTACTTCTGTAAAGATATAGCCCAGGACATGCTCTGGAATGGGGGGGGGTTCTACTCTGTCCTCCAGGGTCCCTGTCAGTGTCAAAATTGACTCAATGGCACACAACAACAGTATGGTGTCAGGTCATGATAAACAGTAGCAGAGAATAAATTTGAACACAAGTAGACAGGGTAGTGAGGCTCCAAGGAGATAGAATCTGAACAGAAATTTGAAAGAAGGAGCAATGAGGCAAACATATAGGAGAAGAATCCAGGAAGAGGGAGCAGGAAGTGCCAGTGCTCATGGGAAAAGTGAAGTAGGCAAAGTTATCGATCAGGCCAGGTTAGGGGGAAAGAAGTAGCACTTAAGGTGGAGACAGGAAGAAGCCACCGGGATAAGCACTTTGGCACTCTGTTCATATGCTTGTTCAGTAGTGAAAGATGAGCAGGCTTAGGGCAGCTTGGCGATATGACTGGATTTCTACTTCAAAAATGATCACTCCAGATCATGTTTGCGGTAAGGGGAGGAGAAGGTGGATTAGTCAACTAATCAATGGTCTACACTCAGCTGTTTGATGATGATGAATTCAGCTTAGGACATTGGCAGTGAATAATTTAAACAAGTATTTTAAAGGTTGAGCCAAAAAGATTTGTTTATGGTTTAAAAGTAAGGTGATAGGAAAAGAAAGAAGTCATGGATAATTCTGAAGGTTTTGTGTTGTTGGTTTGTTGGTGGTGGGGTTTTTTTGTTGTTTTTTTTAAGGTTTTGTTAGGAGTTGACTAAATGGTGAAGCAATTTAAGATGTGAATGAACTACAAAGGAGGCACAGAGAGGGAAGGGCGTCGCACTGCAATTCTGAAGGCATGTGGTTTGAATCCACCAGCTGCTCCAAGGCTGAACAATCTCATGCTATGCAACTAACTGCCTTTGAAAAAGTGCCAAAGGGGCAGCAATGGATTAGTTCTAACTTGATGGTACACAACAACAACAATTCCTTCATTAGGGAACTCTAGTGGCTTTAAAAGGGAGGTCTGGTAGCCTAGTGGTGAAGGTGTGCTGTAAACCCAGACACACAGTTCAAATCCACCAGCTGCTACATGGGAGAAAGATGAGCAATCTCCTCCTCTGTCAATTACTGCCTCTTAAAACTCACTGGGGTGGTCAGTTATGAGTGACGTCCAGGGTCCAGAGCACATAAAAACAACAACAGTGGCCTCATGATAAACAGATATGCTGCCAACCAAAGGCACATGATTCAATACCACCAGCTGCTCTGAAGAAGAAACCTGGGCTATCTCCCTCACTGCTATGTACAGCCTCTGAAAACCCACTGGAGGGTCAGCTGTTTGGCAGTTCCAACTCAACGGCATATGACCATATCTCCTTCATTTAAACACACACATTTAGTGTGTTCAGTACTCCTGTAGCTGATACTGCTGTTGTATTAACTGCGTTACATACTGAGTGTTGGGGTCATTGTTATGTCAAACAGAAGATGCGTAGGAGCACAGGGCTCAATTAAGGAACACTGGTGGCACAGTGGCTAAGTGCTCAGGACTACTAACTGAATTGTTTGCAGTTCAAACCCAACAGCCGCTCTGTGCAAGAACAATGTGGTGGTCTCTGATCGCTGGGCTTCCTAATATTTACAGCCTTGGAAACAGGGTGGGACCATTTAGGCTTGTCTTTTAAGGATTTTATGAATACCATTAGTATATTTAAGAAGCTTGAAATAATGGCTAGTCTTAAAGAAATAAAGCCTGGAGTAGGGCTTTAAAAAGAAGCAAACAAACACGTGAATATTGTTGTTCTTAGGGCTATGTGGGAAACAAAACAAGCATAAACTAAAATGTAATTGCTATCAAGCTAGAACAGGCTCATAGCTGATCTTCTGGTGAGTTTTCAAAGGCTATAAATCCACCCTTCTCCCATAAAGCAGTTGGTGGATTAGAAAGATTATCCATCCTTCTCCCACAGAGCAGCTGGTGGGTTCGAGCCACCCACTTTTGGATTGGCAGCGCAAACCCCTCCCTACTAGGCCACCAGAGCTACATGAGGTCACCATAATCAGAAAGGTCAGTCTTGCTATTAAGAATAGGCTTCAGGCAGTGATTAGATCTTTTTAAGTATTCTCTATTTAATTGCTCAATTTCTCAGAACAGAATAAAAGCCAAAAATTTGCTACATCACCTCACCTTCACTCCATTTCAAGGTACATGCTACATCTTTTTTTTACACCTTACATACTTAGGCAAATGTTTAAGAAAGGCCAATTTGCCTCCAAGGTTAGTAATGGGTTTATGTGCTTGCACAGATGGTATTCCATTTAACTCATTGCTCAGAGGTGATTCTAAAAGAAAACACAATGGGGGGGGGGGAGCAAACAACTAAACACTCATGAAAATCTAAATGATAAAATAACAGAGTTAAGGGAAAACAGAGTGAAAACTATTTCTTATCTGCTGCTTTTGTTTATTAAGTTTCCATAATTTTAGTATTTTCAAAGTAACCTAAATTTAACATTTTTGAGAGGAGTTCTGGTGGCTTAGTTCTAACAAATTGTGCTCCCAATCCAGAGACACACGGTTCAAATCCACTAGCCACATTCAGAGAGAAAAATGGGCTCTTGTATAATTTACAGCCTTTGAAAACCTGCTGAAGGGTCTGCTAAGAGTAAGTACCAACTCAATGGCACACGACAACAACAGCAATATGTAATTTTGAGTTTTGGGATATATTGCCTCTGTCTTGAAATCTGTTACATCTAGGTTCCCAGAATGCTTCTGGATACAGCAGTAATGATCATTCAAATCTTCATTACTGTTTTTAGCATGGCTCTTAAAGCAACATCTTATTACAGTATTTTTTTGAATATTGTTTGTTGTTATATGCCATCGAGTTGCTTGAATACATGACTAAATTTTAGAAAAATCATTAGTAAAGTGAAACAAAATTATGCTGAAAGCCACAATTTTGTCTTAAAATTATAAGAGGATAGAAAGAAATGGAAGAATTAAAATGACTTTATTACTCTTGAAGAATGTCATCTTAAAAAACATAAAATTGTTTTCCTAATTTGGTAGGGCACTATGGTGTCTTAGTGGTAAGAAGCTGTCCTGCAATCTCAAAGTCATGCAGTTTGAATCCACCAGCTGCTTCACAGAAAATCCACCAGAGGGTCAACTATGGGTTAGTTCCGATTCAGTGGTATACACACAACAACTATAATTTGTTAAGAATTTTCGAGTCAAATGCTTACCCAGTTTAAGATTAC